GACACATGTGCCCAAAGAAAACTGACATGTGGAATAACAGGGACCCGATACGTGGTCCAGTAAGAACCTGAAACGTGCAAGAACTAGAGATAGCCACGTTATGCAATAAGAAGTTGACACGTACCCGAACCATCTCCAATGTAACCGGCTATACCATGTACATGTGGAAAGCATTTCCAACAAAACCACCCACCAGCGTGGCAGCCGCCTGCCACGCATGCCAAAACAATTCTTTGACGGTCTGTTTTTCGTCACAGATCAAGCCACTTCTACGACGATTTGCTGGATTTGTCATGGAAGTTCAACTATGACGCGACTTCTGTGACGAACCATTTTTTGTCATAAATTCGTCATAAAACTGAAATTTTGACGAATTTGGCTCCTTCAGTAACGAAAGTTGTTCGTCATAGAAGTGGATATTCATAGTAGTGCGCCAACGTTTGGAATTGGCCTCATGGATGCAATATATTTAGGATAACAAGACCCATGAAAGTGGGTGGCTTGGGGCGTCAATGTGTGAATTTGAGTTAGGTGATGGTGTGTGTTGCCAGCAGCGAGGATCGAGGAGCAAATGGAGTTGAGTGGGCCTGAGGGGTGGGCAAGTGGGGGATTGAGAGGGGCATGTCATGACAACGTGAGAGGCAGGTGGCGACAATGAGAGGGGCAAGGGACGGGCAACTCATGATGGCGAGAGGGGTGAGGTCTCGGTGGACTGCATGCGAGGGCCGTGCGACACCATGGCATGTGGGGTTGACAAGTGTGGCGGCTGGCAAATGGAGGGGGCGGTAACACAAGGTGATAGGGTTTGGGGGTATTTTTTGTGAGAGGATGTGTGGTGCTGCCATGATTTCTTCATTGGGCTAAGTGAAAGCTTGCGCGGGCTGATACCACCTCTTGGCGCAAATGTCAAATGAGCATGTGGCTTGTGTGGCTCCTTTGCACCAACAAGACTGTGAAAAGGGAAATAGTTCGGTGCCAATGGAAAAGGTCGGGGATCCGATGTAGTTTTCGTGGCAGGACATGTATTTTCATGAGAGTTTTAAATAATCGTCATGTCAATTTAGTTTTTTTCATGAAGTTTCATTGTATACCTTCACAAAAAATTATTTCCACTTTTGTTTTTGGAGCACATTCACGAAATAAAATTTTGCACGACAATTTGTTAAAAATATCAAGAAAACTCATTATTGCCCACATGAAATCTCTGTTTCTAGCGGTGAAAGTGTAAAAGGAAGATCAAAAGTGTGTGAAATTTCCACTAAATTTACACGGTTAGCTTGATCACATTAGTGAGAGACGTGAGATGGTTAACTAATTTTCTTGGCAGTTATTTTGCGCACCCCAAGAAACCCATAGACTGTCTATGGCGGTTTATGTAAAGCCCCAAAAGAAATGTGTAATTTCCTTGGCCATTCAGCGAAACCACCCAGGAAACTTCTATATTCCTTAGCAATTTACATCAGCACCTCAGAAATATACAATTTCTTTGGGGTTTATTAGCATCGCAAGGGAAAAATAAAATAACCTGGGCTGGACAAAAAGCTCATTGAGCTGGGTTGGTGGATCATTTCAAAATTGTTCTGATTGACCTTTTTTTCTTTCAAAAAAAATAAGCTAATTTTTAATGACTCTGGACTTCAGTTTGGCTTGTTAGGCTTGGCTCATTAAGTGCGGTTGAAGTTAGTTCTCTAACAATTCAGTAGACTATGATAAACAATATTATGTCAATTTCGAAGAGAAGTCAAAAAAGTGTAGTTACCTCGTTATCCATGCTCCATTTCATTTCATCACAAGGAAAATCTTGACCACTAAGGATATTCCAGCTTCTGATAGTAGATAGGTATCAAGTTTGATCATTAACACAATGTTTGGGACTTTGGGCAACATATGAGTTTCCGAGCTACTAGAGCTGACAACTGGGAGGAGATAGAGAGGATTTTCAAGACGAAAGGTATTTGGAGGCAGATCAATGATAGCAGCACTCTTCAGTTGCGTATAAGAAATTTAACTAGCTAGTGAGTCAACTGCACAAATATTCCAGGTAAATTTGAATTTGGTGTCCTTTCTTCAGAATTGGGGAAATCAAGTTATAAAATTAACTGAACATACTGAATACAGTTCGCAAAAATTGAAAGACTAGATCTCATGTTGCCAACAAGCTAGTGAATATCTGACTGGATGCTAAAGAAAGTCTTTCAATACTTCTGAAATTGAAACTGATAAGCTTATATGAATCTTTTAATTGCACCATATGGCCGACGAATGAGCTGAGCTGCAACAGCTTTCAATCTAGCTCTGTCCATTTGCTGCATCTATGGCGCTGCCAGTACCTACCATGGCAAAAAAATAGCATTAAGAGCAGTCATGAAAGACGATCAAGTAATAAATTAAATCGGAATTTTGATAGATGCATATGATCTATCTACTTTGTCAACATTTGCAATATTGAAGTCTACATTATTAGCAATATGAATTAAGAGTTGTGTATTTATAAAACAGAGAGGGAGCACTGAAATTTAGTTTATGCATCTGATCTATAGAACCACTGAAAACTCACTACAAGCGTATACACTATAAACATGCGAACAGGAATATGTGATAATTCAACTAACTTTACACATCTTAGAAATGACATCATTCACGCATGCACTATGTGAAAGAGAATAAAATGCAAAATCCATTTGTTAACATGGAGAATATGCTGAACAAACATGAAGATTGTCTCTTGTGCTTGTGCACATTCGATAATTCAAACATCAGATAGCACAAGAACACAAAAGTTAAGAGATGGACACACATATATAATTTATACACGTATGCAGTTTCTTAAAATCCATGAAATTCTATGACATTTTATCAATTGGATATCGACAACTGATGATAGCCTCATAATTTTATTTGTGTAGAGCACCACAAACTAAATATGTGAGTAATGTGACATATTCTGAAGAGTTAATTAAAACAAAATAGGATCTACATACAAGATAAGAATAACTTCATTATCTAAAAATAGACAAGAATAACTTAAACATCGAATGAAGTCAATCAACTGAAATCCATGGATGCCCTGCATGCTACATAATTTGCCACGTACTGCTAAAGAAGTACAGAGTTCAATATATGGCATAAATCATTTATAACACCAGTAACACAACGGTGTAGGACAACATTTCTTCCCACAAGTTGCCAGTGCATTAAAAAGAGGTCTTGAGGTAATCTAGTAATTCCTGACAAAAGGAAATATTCTATGATATGTGCCCTTTTAACTGACCAAATGCTATGTCACGCACTAGTAATATAATTAGTGCACTACCATTTCATAAATTAATTATCTAGTTGAGCTTTGCCTTGGGTGACGCTGTCAATACAATCTCTGACGTATTAATTATAACCATAAAATAGTGTGTGTTAGTCAGTAAATTTTGCTCCCAAGAAAATTCTAATTGTGCATGGCAATCTTTAGAGACCTGATGGACAAGAGAAGAAAGAGCACTAAATATCTAGCTCAGCTTTGCCTTTGGTTATGCCACCATTTCCTAGCTTCATTTAAATTTTGATAATAGGGCACTAAAAGAAAAGAGACGGCATCATTTCTTCGGTTCCAAATTAGTAGTGTGTTAAAAAAGTGTTGACAAGTATCCCTTTCCCTGCATTGAATAAACGACACTCAGGGGTGCATCCACAAACAAGCTCTAGAGAGGCTCCTCTTGGATAAACTGGGGAAACAATGAACAGAAGTAACGAACCAACGTAAACTTATAACAACTCTAGGATAAACTTCGTGCCCTCTGGAATTGTCTCAGATATGCTCACATGTGCACCTACAGGAGAACTGGTTTTCCCCCGCATAATCTAAACTAATTACAGAAATCTACGAAATAAAAGCATCATATATTTCATCACCCAAAGATTTAGATATTTCAATTTCGCTGGCAAGTCAAGATGAGGACCAATGAACCGAAGTACAGAAGCAACGTAAATTTGTACCAGTTCTCCCTGGTATAAATTTACTGGAATTTTCTACTGGAATTGTCTGTAATATATGTATGCTAACCAATATCTGCAGGAGAACTCTTATGATAAATTTATATGAACTCTATGATAAACATGACCACTGCAAGTCAAGCTGGGGATCGGAAACAACAATTGGAAGTACAGAACATACTCCCTCCGTTCTAAATTATAAGTCGTTTTGACTTTTTTGGTATATAGAATTTGTTATGTAGCCAAAGGATGCTAGTCTAGTTGGTTAGCAGTTCCGGTGGCACCCCTCAGGTCTTGAGTTCGAACTCCCATGGGAGCGAATTTTAGGCTAAGGGTAAAAAAATCCCCTTGCTCGCCCCAGTCCAAAGTACAGGTTAAGAGATGGCCCTTCTCACGGGTGGCAGCTCCCGGTGTATGGATGGGGCGGGGTTCGGAAATTTTCTCGGTCTGTGTAAGAAGACCTTCTTCTTAGTCACAATACCGTGGGGGGCGGTCATGACCCCCGTAGGCCGAGTTTTTTTTTGAATTTGCTATGTATCTAGACACATATTAGACTTAGATACATAGCAAAATATATGTAAAAAAAAGTCAAAACGACTTATAATGGTATGTGTGAGAAGATCTTCTTCTTAATCACAATACCGTGGGGGGCGGTCATGACCCCCGCAGGCCGAGTTTTTTTTGAATTTGCTATGTATCTAGACATATATTATACTTAGATACATAGCAAAATGGATGTATAAAAAAGTCAAAATAACTTATAATTTGTGACAGAGTAGTAAATTTAAACGAACTCTATGATAAACTTGTTGCCTGGCCGCTGGAGTTGCCTGTAATAACATTCTATCTTGTACAGGCAGGAGAACTAGTTTTTCCCTGGCTGTTGTACCAATTTCAGAAATTCAACATCGCAGGAAAGGGTTCAGTTATGAAATATAAATTAGAAGCATCATATATATATTTCATGACACAACGAAATGAATGGAGAGTGATGCATGGATTATTCATATATAGTACTAGGTACCTCGATAGTAAAAGCTTTTGTAGGGATAGAAAGCTTGAATGTCGTAGGCATCGCAGATCCTCCTGTTGGGCACCTCAGTCCAGAGATCCACCTCAAAGATCCCAGCTTCAGTGCGCACGAAAACGACCCTGCAGCCTTGCACACTCAGGATCCAGACCATGTCGAACTGATCTGTGGAGTCCATGGGACCCAGAGCCAAGTCATACAAGTCAATCTGATTGGGCATGCTCCACCGCTCGGTGCCACGGCCATTGTACTCACGGAGCACCCAGAGCTGGAGACTAAAGCCGCACGCGGCGACCAGCCCTAGCAGGCCGTCCTCCGTCTCCATCACCTGCACGTTTTCTTGCTCGGCATCGAAAATGTAAACTGGCTGCTCGATCAGGTACAACCTGTGCGTCTGCAGGTCGAAGGCGAGGATGCTGCTCTGCAGCCACGAGGTTTCATGGACCAGTGTCCAGTACAGCACGTTCCGCACCAGAGCGACCGGTCTGTCGCTGATGCGTAGCCACAAGCTGCTCGACAAGTCAGCGGAGGCCACCTCGTTCCAGAGCCCCAGCTCCGAGGAGTAGAGGTAGGCCACCGTGGTTCCCGCGTCAGGGGCCGCGACGAACACGACCCTGAACGGGCAGTCGTGGCAATCGCTGTGGTGGTCCACGTGCCCCGGGGCGGTGCAGCTGCAGACCACGGCGGCGTTGTTGAACCTCAACATGAAGTGGTCCGCGTGCTGCATCGCCGGCGGCGCGTCGATGTACCGCCGGCGTCCAGCCGCGGGGTCCCAGACGAGGAAGCGTGCCCTGTCGGGGCTTTGGAGGAGGACCTGGCCGTGGCGGCTGTCCACCAAGCGCCAGCCGTGGTCCTCCTTGGGGTCTAACGCCGTGGCAGAGACGCGGTCCGGCGAGTCCCCGATGGTGAGGAAGTTGTTGGGGAGGCTTTGGTCGTCATGGAAGAAGCCCAGCAGGGGTGGCGGCGTGCTATTGTGGTGCGCCTGGAAAGTGTGGTGGAACTCGGCACCGCCGATGAAGCGGTGCAGGCCCTTGCAGGCGAGCGAGGCACGCGCGAGGGTGGCGGGGTGAGGTGGGACGCGGACGAGAACCTCGCCGAGGGCGTCGTCCGGGACGTGCTCCATCGAATGCGCCGTGCTCATGGAGGAACCCATACTGCGGAATGCGGATGCGTCGTCTATAGCTCTATGCCGCTTGTGTTGGTGGCCAGGATAGCTAGCGGCTAAAAAGGGCAAGAAGCAGGTAAAATGAAACGGCCGCCTGCTGGGAGGGATGCTCTTTGATTATTGCTGCTCATTTGAATTGAAAATGCAACCCTGTGCTGTGCCGGGCACTACCATTTATTATGAAAATCTTTTCTGGGGCATTTCTGGTACTGCTATAAGGATATAATACTACTCCTATATGATTATTATATGGGAGTTTTAGTGCCAGCAAAGAGATATGCATCCATGGCATGACAGCTTCTCTACTCCTCAATTAATAAATTGCTGCAAGCAAAAGCCAGGAAGTAAATATTAACCGTCACCAAATATAAATATTAATTTCCTGGTGATAAGTAAGTAGGTGTTGTACTGCTGTTGTTGACTCCTAAACCATCGTTTTTTGCTTTGTTTTCTACTAGGAAAACATATTTATACATTTCCATAATCAAATGAATGAATTGGAAAAATTGAGTTGATGACTTGTTGTACAGTAGACTGTTACAGGCACTAATATAAGAGGAGACAGCTGGAAGGCCCTGTCTACATCACATGGAAACAGAATTTCAAATAACCTGTATTATATGCAAAAAAGATTCATCTGGAAAAAATTTCAAGTATTGGAGAAAAGTTCTGGGATGACGAGAGCAGGCATCCATCACACAAAATTACTACGTGAGGTGCTCATATGAGTATGCATATGAGTATGCATGTACGTCTGTGTCTACGCCATGTTTTTAAGGTTGAGAATAACTCTAGTACTTACATGCATCACGCAAAGTGTTATTTTGCATGTTTGACAAGAAATAGGAGCAATTATTTTAGAAAATTGTAATGATAAAAAGACCTATACCTTTATAGTGGATAACTTTTGCATTTGAAACTACTTAGATGTCCAATATTATTCTGAAATAAGTTTTGGCCAAGTCAAAATGAAAAAAAAAATGAAACTTTAGTCAGGATGTGAGAGCTTCACCGCCCAGTGCCCGCGCCTGCGCTGTGCGTGGCACTGGTGGCCGATTCAGCATGTATGTAGGCGTTGCGTTGATCGGCTGTCGGTTAGTGACTTGGTGTTGCTTTGTGCATAGACTTACCCTGTGCATAGTAAACCCGCCCCAACCACACCCCCCACCCCACACACACATTTTTTTTTAAAATTTTAACATTTTTGGAAAACTAATTTTCAATCTAACACTCTCTGTTTTTTTTAAACTAACACTTTTGGCCGCGCCTATTGCCATGGCGCATGGTGGCGCGGCAGGGAGCTGACGTGGCGACGACCGGAAATGGTCACAGTTGACATGGTAGGGCCTACCGCGCCACCCATCTTGGCGCGGCAGTGCCGCGTCACGGAGCATGGCGCGTCAGGGGCACATAAATATCGTGAGCGAGCCCCCCCCGCCACGCCCCCACCCAGCGCGCCAAGAAGCGCCTCCACCACAACACCCCCCCATACTTCGCCCGCCCGCCCGCCACGCCATACCCGCCACCCATGGTCCCGCGCGCCACACGCCCGCCGGCGTCAAGGCCAAGGCCGCTTCTATCAAGGTACCCCCTCTCGATTTTATTTTATTTTGATTATTATTGATTTAGGATAATTAGTGATTTAGGATAGTTAGTGATTTAGTATAGTTAAGTTAGTGAATTTGTTTGTGATTTAGTTAGATAGTTTTTAGGTTTGAGGTTGTGTGTTGTAATATAGTTAGGATTTTAGGTTTAGGGATTGATTATGTATTTATTATTTAGTTTATAGTTAATTATTTAGTTAGGAATTTTGGGTATAGATACTAGTTTTCAAATGTTGGTACTTACTAGTGCGTGATACGTCGATTTTGATGACTTGATGAAGTTTCGTCAAATGCTTATATTCGTAATTAAGTTGTTTAATATATCTGTTAATGTTACTTTGAAATATATACATGTGCTTTTATATTGTGTCCGTATTGTATAACAAGTAGTTCAAATTTCGCAATGCTACATAATGTTAATTTAAATTTTGTTAATTTGAATACTCTAACCCTTTGTTTATCAATTTGAAACAGGATGGCCTCTTCCACGCAGCACCCGTTGTACCCCATTCTTGAGGTGAAATACGACGACCAACACCGAGCACACATCTTGAGTGACAATGACGCAGAGGTGGCCTTGCCTCCTTTGAGGCCCCGCACGCACACCAGGGCGCACCAGTGGGACGAGCATTACGCGTCGTACATATGGCGTGCCGGCTTCCTCGATCTTGTCCATGTTGTCAACTACGATCTTCCACCCCTTGACCCAGCACTACTTACTGCAGCTGTAGACAGGTGCGAGTGTCTTATTTGTACGTAAACATTCTTGTAACAAATTTGAGACAACTAACAGTCGTTCTATTCTTATAACAGGTGGAGGCCTGAGACCCACACGTTCCACCTACCTTGTGGCGAGATGACCTTGACCATGCAGGACGTGAAGGCTATTTTTGGCCTTCGGTTGGAGGGACTTCCAGTGACAGGGATAGTTGACAACGATCACTAGAGGGAGCTGGTGGCTCAGTTTACTGGCTTTCTTCCACCGGACGACGAGGCTTCCAAGAAAAATAAGTGAGAAATTCAAGGCTATTTAATACTTGCATTGCTTTCCTGCAGCCATCGGGTCTCATTTTCTTTAGTCAATTTTAGGAAAAGTTCTGGTGTTTCGTCATCCTGGATCATGGAGCGCTTTGATTACTTGGACCCACAGGCTGAGGAGGCTCAGATCGACATGTTCGCTCGAGTGTGGCTCTAGCACTTTTTTGGTGCTTTCCTCTTCCCAGACACCTCGGGCAACACCATCAGCTGGATCTTCCTTGACATACTATGCCAGCCGTGGGAGAACATAGCGGCATACAGCTAGGGCAGCGCAGTCCTGGCATGGACGTATCGACAGCTATGCGTTGCCTGCCGTCGCACCCCAGGGTATGCGAACCTTGAGGGTTGCTCATACCTACTCCAGGTTTGGTGTTGGGAACGATGGCCCGTTGGGAGGCCCCTTAATACTGGTTTACCGGTAAGTACTTCGGTTCATTATATTCTTCGATATGGTTACATATGATGAGTTTATTAATGGCTAATTCAATATCGTGTTCAATGCAACAATGGAACGGGCAGGATACACTCCCTACAGCTCTGTTTATCTGGACGGAATCAGAGTTAGTTAGAGGGAATGCGAGGCGCAAGTACATAGAGTACACGGATGGTCTCGACGTCCTGACACAGCACCAGGTTACGCTCTCTTTACTATCATACCTGTGTCTTGTTCGATGTACAGTATATCATAGCCTAACTCAATTACGAAATGTTTAGGTGCATTGGTGTCCTTGGGATGCTCTGGAGCTCCAGTACTATCTCAGTCCTGTCACTAGGGACAAGTCAGAGGAGTATCGCTGCAACGTCCCTCTTATTTTCTTCCACGTGGTCAAGATTCACTTGCCCGTCAGGGTCTACAGACAATTTGGAAGAATGATAGGCTGCCCACCACCGCTTTACTCCACCAACCAAGCATTGCACGGGTGCGTTATCGATTAATAACAAAGCTACAATTCAGAGGTGTGTGTGGTATAACTAACATCGTTTTGTTGCAGGTATGACTGCAGGAAGAGGTACAATACCAAGGATTGGCGCGTGACACACAACGCGCACATCCACTTGTGGGAGACCAGGGAATGACAACCGATCCATGCGGGTCCTCCACACGACCAGCACACCTTCGACGAGTACCTGCGATGGCTTCACAGGTCTACGAGGACACATATCAAGCCCCCGTACACTGAGGAGGTGATTGACAAGGACTCGGAGGAAGATGTGATCGAAGATGTGTACAGCATTGCCACTAGAGAGGACACATAGCTACAGAGAGCCTCGCTACAAAGATACGTGGTAAGATACTTGAATGGTACAATTTGTTATCCATTTGGTATTAAGTATGTATACTAAAACTGTTCAACCGCGTTTCTGTACCCAGGCGACACAATTGTCGAGGCTGTCCAACGAAGCAGCGTTCTAGCTTCACGAGTCTAGAGGGCAGGGGCCAGGCGTTCTCAGGGCTTTTGTGGAGGTAAACATAAACTGATCCGTTCCAAAAATGTTTCTTTAGTGTATATGCGTTTAGAAAATGCACTAACTTTAACGTCTATTTATGCAGAAGGTGAAGAAGAGCTGCAGGAAGCTAGCTCAAAAGCCGACCTACATGAACACTCCTTATGAGGAACCGCCACTCCCGGCGCGGTCAGGTGGCACGTCTTCAGCCTCTTTGAGGACACCAGCCGGCTCTTCTCAGTCGGTGACAGGTGCCACTTCCGCAGTGCGTACACCACCACATCATAGCACTGGGAAGGACCCTGCAACCGAGGAGGACGACGACGACCCCCCGAGCTTCCACAGACAGCACGACCAGTGAGACGATTGGCCGCAAGACGAGATCGGCATGTCTCAGCTAGGTGGTGCCCCACTTGGTACCCAAGGAGCCTCACAGGTACTAACAAAGGTAGTTTCTTTAAATACATAGGCTACATGAACTAACGATCATAAAGAATTCTAAGTATTCATGCATATCATATACTTGCAGGGTACGAGCCGTACCCACCGGCGATGTGACCACACCGACGTTGGCTACACTCACAATGTGTTGCCAACAAATTCAAAGAGACAAAGGCGTCCGAGGGATCCTTACACTCCTAGGTCTTAGTTTGTTAGGTCGAACTAATATTGGCGTCCGAAACTTGCAGGCTTAGTTGGTTATGTTATGTCAAACTTATGTCAAACCAATGAAAATATTATGTGTCAACTTGTCAACTTGCGCACGGACTTCATTTATCTGCTTCATATTCGTTTCAATGCATCGTGGCATCACTGCAGGCGAGATTAAGTAGCAACTAGTTCGGAAACCGGCAGTCCCGGGTATCTCGACACCAGGGTCCATGGTCG